TAAGAGGTCACAAAGAAACCCAAAGTGGACAGCTCCAGCCAACTACTCAATATGTGACTGAGAGCATCTTGGACCATTAAGCACCAGTGGAGTGGTCAGATGACTGTGCCTGCATAAGACTAGAAGAACTGCTTGACCAAACCCAGAGCAAATCACGAGATGAGTGTATGTAAACAAGTGGGTTTTTTAGAGTCCTTAACTAAGATTTGAAGATAATGGTTCAGTAAAAAAAAAATGTGAAAAATAACAATCCTAACAAAAACAGTATAATTTAAGGAAATGTTAAGGATGCCAAATTAGTTTACAAAAGTAAAATTCAAAGAGATCCAGGAGAATCACACAATAATCACTTCTGAAACACAGTTTTGTCACAGCACAATGAAGGGGGAAAAGTGAGATGAATGGGTACTGTGTACAGTATTGCACTGCTCTGCAACTTGCTATATTCCACTCCATTAGAATACTCTTCCTTCAGCTGTTATTTGGTGACTCAATACCTTAACATGCTAAGAGGGAAAAAAATCACAATGAAACAACAGGAATTCTAAAGCAAGCTGATATCTTTCTAAATTATGTTCTGATTCATGTTACAGTAACACTCAACTTGCAGCAAAACGGACTGTACTTCCATTTAGCTGGGTGTGAAGGGGAATATTAAAGGGAGCAGTGGGAAATAGCTGGAATGGTGGGTTGGGGCCAGATCACAGGAGACCCCTGAATACCAGGTTAAGTAATTCGGAACACAATTTATATGCAATGGGAAGCCAATGAAAGGTTTGAAAATAAGAATAATAGAAGAGCTGTGACTTAGCTATATGCATAATTAAGATGCATTTTGAGTGAAGAAAAATAGTAGCTAAAAGTTTTGAGTTCTAGGCAATCCAGATAAAATACAAAAGGGCCCTTACTAAGGTCATGGCAATGAGAATAAAGAGAAGAGGATGACAGTAAACTAGAGACAGGACTTAGCAATATATCAGTGACTAGAGGGGAATGCAGAATCAAAGGATGCCAGAGTTTTTTTCCTATTATAAGCAAGGTTATAATGAAAATACTTACACATATGCCTAAATACATTAGTGCTGCCCTGATTGGTGTGGCTCATTTGGTTGGAGCATCATCCCCATACACCAAAGATGGCGGGTTCAATCCCCAATCAGGGTATGTGTGGGAGGCAACTGATCAATGTTTCTTACATCGATGGTTTTCTCTCTCTCTAATTAAATAAATAAATATAATAAAAATAAATACACTGGTGCTCCTATTTATCAGATATAGACCTAGAAATTAGACATACTTAAAACTGATTTTAATGCTCCTTGTGTCTGGATAGCTATTCATTGTTTAAAATTTAGAAAAACTTTAGAAATAATTATGGCCTGGTATCATGTTTACAAAAATTATATTCTACTTCTGATATTCAGAGAAAACACTCTCCCAGACACTAAGAACCAATTCTTAAAATGGTAAAGGATTTTCTTTCCACACCCCATTAAAAAACAGTGTCAGTGAGATTTCTCTTTAAGGTACAAGTGATAAGGAGGTAGCTGTGGTTCTGTTGGTGATACAGAAATAGAATTCTGGAAATAACTGACATGTCAGAGCATACATTGATGATACTTGGGTGGGGGAGGTCAGACAGTAAGAAAATGACATGGGGATGGCTGCTTCGGCATGACTTAACAACTTGCAGAAGGAGTCATGCTCTATTGCTCTATAGGTCATACAACTGTATGTCCTTGCCTACCTACACATGCTATCAATGACCTTTTACAAAATCAAGTTCCAAAGTATCTCCTAGATTCAACTTTATTTCACAAGCTAGTAGGATTAAACAACAATGCTAATCATGAAAAAGCAGTAAAGCAGAATTATTAAGACTTAGGAACTCTAGAACCAGGCTTCATGGGTTAGAATTCCATGATCAGTAATGTAATCTTAGGTACATAGCTATGTAATCAGGGGCAGGTTATTTAACCTCTTTACCTTTCCTCAACTGTATGATGGGAATAATATAATTACCTGCATTTAGAGGACTTTTATGAGGAGTACAATAATTTTAATACACATAAAGTACTTACAATAGCTCCTCATCTTCACAATTAAATGATTTTGAAATATGGAAATTTTCTTTGCAACTGCATCAAGGTCTGAAAAAATGGTATAGTTTGGACTCAGAAAATATATCTACTTCTAATTTTTGTTGGAAATAGAAATCTTACTTCTTTTATCTTAACTTTTAAAAGCAGTGGAAGTATGAAAATCAGTCTGACATTACTTGTGATTCAAACATTAGTTGTCATCAGATGACTTTACCATATATACATTTCACATATAAGCATTGTTTTGCTATGTCATTTTAGATTGAAGTCATCAGACAACAATACCAAGTATGCAGCAACAGCTATCTTCCAAAGTCACTGTCTGATAAGTGTCTGCAAGTGCTTCTTCAAGTTAAAAAAAATTTCTTTTCTATCTCAGCCCCTGAGCTCAAAACATTCACAATAAGCCTTTACTACTAACTGCTAAGCCATCAAACAGCTATGGGGTTGAGCAAGTCAGGATATTCAGCTTCTATTTCTGACAATAACTTAAAGTAACCACAGGCTTTAAATGCTTACATGTGAACAAACTTTGTAAATTTGTCCCACTAAAGAATAAATAAGCCTTTATCTGTTCCACACATATTTTTACCATCATCAGTTAAAATATACCTTAGTAGATTCTACTTGTACTGACTGAATTAGTGTTTTCTTTTCTAAAGTTGTTCTACCCATTCTACACTCATAGGTAGTAATTCTCAGTCATTTCACACTCTACATTGATTATTCAAATAAAAAACTGAGCAAAACTATAACATTTGTCACTCCATCAAGAACCATGCAAACTTACTTTGGTTGCACATTCATTTTCATTTTTGTGAAGAATTCCTGGTTATGATGAGATTTTTTTTTTCCTTTAAAATTTTCTAATTTTCTAACTATTAATTTCAGTGAGTTGGAAATACTGTGATTAGTACTTCCTAAGTTAGTACTAATGTCAACTTATGTCATATTCTTTTAGCTTCATTACAGTGTCACTGCATAATAAATACAGTATTTTGCCATCTAATTCAATAATAAAATAACCCACACTCCAAAGTCTATTTTTACCTTCTTCTGACATAAGAGCTATGCACTAGTAATAAAAATAATATAAAATGTCATGGAGAGCCCTGGCCGGTTTGGCTCAGCGGTTAGAGCGTCCGCCTGCGGTCCGGAGAGACCCGGGTTCGGTTCCCGCTAAGGGCATGTACCTTGGTTGCAGTTTGTCCCCGGCCCTGGTTGGTCGTGCGGGTGGCAGCCACTCGATGTGTCCCTTTCACATCGATGTTTCCCTCTTTCTCTCTTCCTCTCTCTCCCTCCCACTCTGTCTGTACAAAAAAAAAAAATGAAAAAATGTCCTCGGATGAGGATTAAAAAAAAAAAAAAATGTCATGGAGATAGGCATGGCACTTGAGACACTGAATTTATAAATGTGTCACTGAGTAAAGAGTAGAAGTGTCATGTGGTCACTGTCAGGACTACTACTCAAGTCAGCTATTGCAGCTAAAAAGCATCCATAGCCCTGGCCAGTTTGGCTCAGCAGTTGGAGCGTCGGCCTGTGGTAGGTACAGAGAGACCCGGGTTCGGTTCCCGCTAAGGGCACGTGCTTTGGTTGCAGTTTGTCCCCGGCCCTGGTTGGTCACACGGGTGGCAGCCACTCGATGTGTCCCTTCACATCGATGTTTCTCTCTCTCTCTCTCTTCCTCTCTCTCCCTCCTGCTCTATCTGAACAAAAAAATGGAAAAATGTCCTCAGGTGAGGATAAAAAAAAAAAAAAGCATCCATAAACAATATGTAAATAAATTACCATTTTCATGCTCCAAGAAATGTTTATAAACAATGAAATTTGAATTTCATATATATAATTTTAAAGTGTCAAAAATATTCTCCCTCTTTGATTTTTTTCAATCATTTAAATACATAAAACTATTCTTAGCTCATGGTCCATACATAAATAAGCAGCAGGGTAGACCTGGTGTGTATAGCTGGTAGCCTGCAAGACCTATATTGTGGGAAGTGAGAAACTACTCAATGTTTTTGACCATGTGGATCGTTTTCAGATGATTAACCCAGTGAGCATTATGTAGCTTAGATATAAAAGGGCAGAAAGCAGAGAGAGTAGTGTAGTAGTTAAGAGTACAGTAAACAGAATCTGAGTACCTAAGTTTAAATTCCTTCTCTTTAATAAACACTATCTAACTTTGGATAAAACTTATTTTCTTAGCGCCTCAATAAACTTATCTTCTATGAAGGATAACTGTATCTACGTCAAAGTGCTGACTTATAGATTAAATGAGATGATCCACATAAACTAGTTATAAAAGTACTTATGTAGGAGGTGCTTAATAAAATATTTAACCATATACATTATTACTAGTTCAAATTAGGTAATGAAGACAGTCCAAGAGATGACAATGACAAAACATAAACTGAAATGGTAAAATTAACCACATTAAATTAAATTAAGCACATTAATGGAACAAAAAAGAAATATAGAAATAGGTCCAAATGCAGATGAGAATTAGTATGACAAACATAAAGATGACCATTTCTGTGAGACATCCTTGGAAATGGAGGGCAGGACTTGTTTAAATTTGGGAGTACTACGTGAATATAGAGAAAATCTTTAAAAATCTGGATTAAATAGACTTCAAACACAAAACAGGGGAGTGAGAAGAATAAATAGAGAAGGATATGGGCACTACATTTAAAAATGGGAGGAAGTAGAGAATCAAGAAAGAAGACATAGTAAAAATAACCTTAATAGAAGATTTAGTTCAGCAATTTCTATCACAGAAGATAAACAAACACTAATGGGTATGAAAGATTGAAAGGAAGTCACCTAAGAGAATCAAGTTTAAATGCAATATAATGATTTCATAAGAAAACACTATTAAAGCTGAAAAATCCACTTACTGACACAGCTATCATTGTACTATCTGGCTTCCATTCAGCTTGCTTGTAGGATCCAAACTGAGATGACGATTTTGCAGATTCCTTGTAGGTTACGATTAACACACTAGGCTGTAAAAAGACATTTGTGTTTTATTAATGTCTCATAAGAATATATACAAACAAATTTAAGATAATTTATCACAAAGTACTCAAAGTATTTTAATGATTCTAAAGGTGCGATAAATTATAACAATCTAATATTAAATCATTAGCTTAAATTAGTCCAAGCAAATCAACTAATAACCAAAAAGAAAGCAAATTGAATCTATAATTAATAATCATCAAAAAACAGATGGGTTCACTGGCGAATTCTACCAAATATTTCCGGAAGACAGGTAAGGGAGAAATTCTCTACACTATCTTCCAGAAGATTGAAGCAGAGAGAATACTTCCTAACTCTCTCTCTGAGGATAGCATCATCCAAACTCATGAATACAGCTGCAAAAATTCTTAACAAAATATTAGTTTATCAAATCCAACAATGTATAAAGAGAATTATAAAATACAAACAAGTGGAATTTATTGCAGGTATGCAAGGCTGGATCAACATTTGAATATTAACTAATGTAATCCACCACATCAACAGGATAAGAAAAATCACATGATGCTATCAATAGATACAGAAAATTAATTCGACAAAAGTCAACACTCATTCATGATAAAAACTCTTAACAAACTAGGAATAGAGGGGGACTTCCTCAACTTGACAAAGAACATCTATAAATCACCTACAGTTAACATCATACTCACTGGTAAGAAACTAGCTTTCCTGCTAAAATCACAAACAAGTACATCACCTCTCACCATCTCCTTTTCAAAATCATACTTGAAATCCTAGTTAATGCAATAAGACAACATAATGAAATAAAAGAAATACATATTGGGAAGAAAGAAAGACAACTGTGTTTGTTCATAGGTGACATGACTGCCTATGTAGAAAATCTGAAAGAACCAACAACCATGAAAAAAAAAACTTGTGGGAATAATAGGTGATTATAGCAAGGTTGGATGATACAATGTTACTATATAAAAATCTACTGCTTTCCTATATATCAGCAGTAAAGAGGAATTTGAAATTGAAAGCACAATACCATTTGCATTAGCAACAAAAAAATATTTAGGTATAAATCTAATAAAATATGTACAAGATCTATATAGGGAACACTACTAAATTCTGATGAACAAAAAAAGAAATAACTAAGTAAATGGAAATATATTCCAAGTTCATAGATAGGAAGACTCAACACTGTCAAGGTATCAGTTTTTCTTAACCTGACCTAGAGTCAACACAATCCCAAACAAAATCACAGCAAGTTATTTTAGAAATATCAGTAGATTGATTCTAAAGTTTATATGGAGAAGCAAAATACCCAGATGGACAATACAATGTTGAAGGAAAAGAACTAAGTCAGAGGATTGACATTACCCAACTTTAAGACTTACTATAAAGATATAATAATGAAGACAAAGTGATACTGGCAAAAAACAAAACAAAAAACAGATCAATGGAACAGAATAGCCCAGAAATAAACCCATATAATATATGGGTGACTTTATTAATAAAGGAAAAAAGGCAACACAACAGAAATTCGATGCTCTTTTCAACAAATGGTGCTGGAATAACTGAACATTCACTTTCTGTCACATAAGAAGTTTCCACAGGATCATCTTATACTTTCTATGCCCTTGCCCTAGAATCAACCATTTTTTCCAGGGACTCCTGTTTCTTTCTTTTTTTTTTTTAATCCTCACCAGAGGATATTTTTCCATTGGTTTTCAGATAGAGTAGGAGGGTGAGAGAGAGAGAGAGAGAAACACTGATGTGAAAGAGACACATCGATTGGTTGCCTCCCACATGACCCCGACCAGGGCTGGGGGATGAACTGCAACCAAAGTACGTGACCTTGACTGGAATCAAACCCGCGACTCTTTGGTCCATGGGCCAACGCTCTAACTGCTGAGCCAAATGGGCCAGGGCTCCTATTACTTTTTATTACAGAATAGTATTTAGAAAACAAGATCTAGAAACAAGATGCTTATTACTAGTGAGGTGTTGCCTCTAACTTGTAGTGAAAAATTCCTGTACCTATACTAACTCATATATATACACATAAACTTTATATTTCTTTCTATATATGCATGTTTTTATACACAGAAACACATATGACTATAATCAAGCACATGGCAGTTCACTCTAGCCTTCTTTCTCCCTTATTTACTTGTAACTTATTCTGACAGTGAGAAAACCTGGCTATTATGTCTTACAATTAATTTAGTTCTTTGTTCAACCCTAATATATACATAGAATAGTTTGGAATTGCTAACTATATCCCTATAAGAAACAAATTTATAACTAGACTAGTTTTTATGGATAGCTCCTTTTACTTTAGCCTTAAAATAACCAGTTAAAACACTGTTTTCTGAAGTTATATATACCATCCCCTTAAAGGCTTTCTCTAGTCTTTAAAAATGAAATACAAAAGTTTCTAAGACACTAACAATGCTCCAAACACATTAAAACTGCTAGAATTAGCTGTCTGTACTTCAAATATGTACTAAAAGTTAAAAACAAGTACCTTGGGAGAAGTGACATCAGCCAGATGGCAGAATAGAAAGACCTGGATTCTTCCCCCATCACACACACACACACACACACACACACACACACTCAGCAACAATTCACAGAAAAAAAAAAATTCCACTTCTGAGTAATCCAGAAACTAGTTGAAAGGCACCTGAATGCTGGATGAATGTGAAATTAGATTCATCAAACCTGGTAGAAAGATTCAGGACACCCTCTCGCCAGAATTCCTACCCCCAACATAGTACCAAGAGATTCTCTAGGACCCAGCTTATCCCCAAGAGGCAAAAGAGGTGAGCTGCATGTCCAATGCCCCAATCTTTCCACAGAAGTTCCCCAGAGGACTGGCTTCTGTCTTGCCAGTCTTGGAAGGCTGACAGAATGAGCATAATCTAGCCAACTACAGGGAGAATAGAGATGGTGGCTTGAATTAATAGTCATCATATTTCTTCCCCACAGCTCTGCAGAGAGAGAACAAAGATTCCAGTTCAAAGCTCTTTCCTGGGCAAAGAAAGCATTGGTCCACATGTCCTATGCACAAACTTCTATGGGGGCTACCTAAAGGAATGGCTTCTGTCTTGCTTATCTCAGAGTGCTGACAGGATTTAGAAAAATCTAGCTATCTAGGGGCTAAGTGAGTATAGAAACAGAGATTTAGCCGGCCCCCACTGGCTTGGCACAGAGCAAGTGGACAATAAACCCCACCTCCCAACTTCTCTCTGGGGAGCAAGTTAGTCCACAGCTGCAATGTTCAAACTTTTCTGGGGCTGCCCAAAGAAGGGTACTGTCTTGCCTTTCACAGGCCACAGATGAGACCTGGCTAACCTGGTTACCAAGGACCTAGTGAGACAGACAGAGGGTTGGGGTACTGTAGGCCCTCCCCAACCCAGCTCAGTGCAGAGCAGGTGGTAAAAATACCCCAGCTCCCAGCTTATACCTAGGGAGGAAAAGAGTTGGATTCAACTTGTCAGAAGACTGCCTGATGAATGATTTGTCTCACTTGTTGAAGTACACTGAAGGAATACAGCATACCTTAAACACCTGAGGACTGCAAAGAACAAAGGAAGCACAATGGACTAACATGATGTTTGAGAGGCCACCAGAAATCTCTGGCCAGCTGACTAGTGGAAGTCTTTTAATATATGAGACCAGTTTGTGAAGACTGGGAAAAGTGGCTGCTCTGTGTAACATACATTTACCAACACGCAGTGTTAATGAAGATAAAAAAGCAAGCAAGTATATTCCAAAAGAAGAAAGACGATAACTCTCCAGAAACAAACCCTATTGAAACAGAGATACATGATTTACCAGACAGATAATTCCAAATAACCATCAGAAATATGCTTGCTCACTACGGTCAGGAGAACAATGGATGAACAAAGTGAATTTCAACAAAGAGATAGAAAATATAAAAAATTAACAAACAGAAGTCATGAAGCTAAAGAATATAATAAATGAGATAATAAAATTTTCTATAGGAGTTCAATAAAAGACTAGATCAAGCATAAGAAAGGATCAGCAAATTCTTAAGAAAGATCACTTGAAATCACTCAATCACAAGAACAAAAAAAGAGTGAAGAAAATGAAAAGGGACTATGAGACGCCAACAAGCAGACCAATATACATATAGAGAAGAGAGAGAGAAATGACCAGAAAGCTTATTCAAAGAAATAATGACTGAAAATGGAAATGGACATCTACATACAAGAAGTCCAAAGAAGCCCCCAAAAAGGAACTCAAATCCACACTAACAGAAATTACAAATTGTCAAAAGTAAAAGCAAAGAGAATATTTTTGAAAACAGAAGAAAAAGGCAACTTGTCATGTACCAGGGAACCCACATAAGACTATAAGTGGATTTTTTAGGAGAAACCTTGCAGGTCAGGAAAGGAGTGGGAAGATATATTCGAAGTGCTGTGGAAAAAAAGCTGCCAAACAAAAAATATTATTATATCCGGCAAAACTGTACTTGAAAAATGAAAGATAGTCTTTCCTAAACAAAAACTGAGAAAGTTTATCACCATTAGACCTACTTACCAGAAATGCTAAAGGAGGTTCTCTACACTGACATAAAAGGTCACTAAACAGCAATAGAATAGCATAAAGAAGTATAAAAGTGGTTAATACAGGTAAATATGTAGACAAATAGAGAATACTGTAATACTGTAATGGTTAGGTCACAAAACAAGTCTCAAATATTTTCAGAAGACTGAAATCATGTCAACTCTTTTCTAACTACAATGGAATGTTACTTGAAACAAAAAAAAAAAACAAGAAAAACTAAAAAATGCACAAATGTGTGGAAATTAACTATGTTCCTGAACAACAACAAATGAGTCAAAGAAGAAAATCAAAAGGAAAACTAGAAAATATCTTGAAATAAACAAAGACTAAAATACAACATACCAAAATCTAAGGGATGCAGCAAAAGCAGTACTAAGAAAGAAGGTTATTGTGCCCTGGCCAGTTTGGCTCAGCGGTTAGAGTG